AAGCCCAAATTTATTTGATGGTATATTGTGTTTTATACAGTCTCTTTTACATTATATTTTATTCATTTACATTGTAAAAAAGGTGCTTTTTTGTTTTGGTGCATAAAATATAGCTGTATTTTTTTATTAATTTTAATGAAAGTTTACAGAGACTTAGGGTTTCCAGTCATTCATTGTTGCATTTTTTTCCCTGCCCACTTCCTCCCCCCAATTCACTTTTCTCCTTGATAAGTAAAAGAAAAACTCTTTCATTGCTATGCAACCCTCCCCACAAGTCCACTGCACTGTGCAGCTCTCATTCTGGACTCCTGTCATGACTATAATAACTTATCATATATCCCTTTTAAACACTTCTCTCCCTCATCTGTTGCAATGCAGTATACATCATTCCTCCCCTTCTTCTCTGTCTTCCATCAACCCCAATGTCAGTCCTGTTTTACAATAGTGGCCCTATGCAATATTTGTCCTTTTGTGACTGGGATTTTTCACTCAGCATAATGTCCTCCATAGCTGTACTTTTATGTCACAAAAGTAAAAAATAAATTCATTGTAAAATGAAAATTAAATATTTCAAGACCAGTTTTAAAATTAAAGATTTCAAGGCAGGGGCACCAGAACTTAAGAACACTGATCCCTTTGCACAGGTCTCAATCTCATGGCTAAAACATTTGGATATTGAAATCCCTCCACACTGTAAAATAATTTTCTAATTTCCAGAAATTTCTACTATTACCATGAACTGTCTTGGACGAAGTTATTAAAAAAAAAAGGTAGACTTTCCATCAGGGATCTAATAGTTGAGAGGAATGTGTTCCAAAACCAGTGATCCTTTAGCTAAAAATAATTCATGAGTGAGTAATAATCATTGTCCACATATTGCCTGTTTTCTTATGGTGTATCTTTTTAAATAATACTACTCTGCCACTTAATAGTGGTAAGAAACTGCACTACAATTGCAAAGCTGGATGGACTATCTCTTCATTTACTGCCTCCGAAAACGTGCTTTGAGGGTCAACTATGAGTTGATTCCAACTTGATGGCACACAACAGCAACACAACAAGTAGCAAAATAGTTAAGCATAGAGATGCTTACTGAAATGTTGACAGTTTGCACCAGTGGCTCTGCTAGAGAAAGACCTGATAATCTGCTTCTGGTAAAAATTGCACTCTAGAAAACTATGGAGCATTTCTACCCTATCACATGGGGTTGCTTTGGTTTGAAACTGAGTTATGGGCATCCACAACACACCTGACATTTAATAAAAAATTACATGAATTATGCTGATGAATTTTCTTTAGAAGTTGGATATAATTTACATGATAGAATGCAGCCAGAACATTGTAGATCATCTTTATAAGAGTCCAGAACATTGATGGTTGTAATTTCAGAGGATAATTTTAATTTATTGATGTTTTCTATTTCCCCCCCCCCATCTTGTGGCTAACAGGCAGTATCTAGTCATTTAAATTTAAGCATTCCCCATGTGTGGGCTGTTTATGACCTTGGGTTTTTAAGCTATTAGACGATAAGCCACTGTGTGTGTAGAAAGGTAACTCAAGTCATCTGCTTGTTTTCTTGCACTTGAAAACCCAGACATGGGCACATATTAATTCCTAAATGGCTTTCAGGGACTTAGTGATTACAGCTTAATGAGCTGTAAGAGTTCCCTGAGTGAGTGAAAATGTATTCTAGCACTAGCTTCCAAATTATTTATTGCAAAGTTTTATACTCCCCGCCTGTTTTTAATGTACTTGAAAAAATTGAACAATTTCTTTTAATCTTGCATGTATTTTGACTGCCAAAATCTCTCTTTCTTGCCAGTGATTTGGCAATCTTATCTCCAACCTCAAAGCTTTTGTCAGACAACTAACTTGCCATTATGTCACTGAAAAATGGCTTTAAATGAATGACCTCTCCTTTGCTGCCTTACACATCTAAAGTCCTACTGTTACTTTTCAGTTAAGCCTATCATTTCTTTACCCCTGTATTCTTCCTCCCATTCTCTTAGTACTTGTTTTTCTAGTCTATAATAAATAAGTAAATGCAATTTTAGCTAACTTTTTAAAAAAGACACATTTACAAAATCTGCATGGTTAGATAACTTTTTTTTTAAATTTAGGTTGTTTATTTTTCATTTCAATGAACATCTACAGAGATTTTGGGATTCCATTCATTCATTGTTGCACCCTTCT